AGCCCTTCCTGCCTTTGTCTGATCAATGCTGCTCATCTCAAGGACCAGACTCCCAGAACTCTGGTGGTTCTCTACAAGGATGTTTATTCAACCACCACTGCTTATGACAACAAAAAACCCCAAAAATTATTGATCACACCGAGAGCCCACAGTGTAAGAAGAGGCTGCAAACCGAGGTTGGGTGGGGAGTGGAGTGAGCAGTGACCCCTCACGTTCCCCAGCACTGCTTTGCTCTTTGTATATCAAATAAAACAACCTAAATTTTGCTGAATATCGAGGCTTTTGTCTCTTTAATAACTTTATTATGTCTGAAACTAGGTTTTTGGAGCCTCCACAGAAACACTAGTATCTAGGGCTATGTTTTTCAACTTTCACTAGAACTCAAATTTCTACACTGGTATCTAAAGCATTTAAAACCTATTTTACTTATTTACTTGCTTGCTTACTTATACTAAAACCTAAACCTCAAAGCAGCAGAGAGAATAAAACATGGAATATTTGTGAGCTGGAATTCACCTGCTGGAAGTGCTGCAGCCCAGGAGATCTTTGGCTCAATATTCCCTGGAGTTTTCCCAGCAGGAACAGCTCAGAGGAGACAAATATTTGTGTGATGAGGAGAAGGGAGAGTTTCATCCCACAGAAGTTCTGCAAGAATTCAGAAATGTTTATTTCTTTGACTGGAAAAAAAGAAAAAAAAAAAAAGTTTCACCCTGTGCTGGTTGTTCTTTTTGGGGAATTAATAGGATGTTAATAATCTTTGCCTTGGGGTTTTTTTGGGGTTTTTTTGGGCAGGTAAAAGGCGAAAATCTTCTCCCAAACCTCTTGTTCTGAGTGAAGCTAAAAAGCAGTTGCTGATCTACAGACTACCTCAGGTCCTCCGACTGCACCTTAAACGTTTCAGGTGAGCCCTGGGTATTTTGGGGAAAAAAAAAAAGACCAAAAATGGGGCCTTTAACTGCCCTCAATTCCTGCTGAAAGCAGGAAAAGTTCTGAGCCATCAGCTTGGTGAATGCCTCTCTCCTTGCCTGCTTGCAGGGGGTTTTTCTGCCACTGGTGAATGTTTTGTTGCATTTTAATCTTTCATTTCTTTGGGTTTTACTCGAGTTTTTCAGGCAGTTTGGAAGGAGAAGTCAGTGATGTGAAAGATTTGTTGAAGGTGGGAGATGGAGGGAATTCAATGCCAGTGTTGAAATTGAAAAATTCTGTTGTTGAACAGAAAGCAGAAAAAGCTCAAAATGTTAGGACAAGTTTGTAAAGTGGGGTGGGTGTGGGGGGGTTTATTGGTGGAACTGAGGATTTTAAAGGTGGTCAGAGGAGAAATCTGGCTCAAAAATACCTCACCTAAAAGAAAAATATCAATGGAAGGAGGAGACCCCACCTGAAATAAAAACCTTCAATGTCAGGAGACCCCACTTAAAATAAAAACCATCAATAGCAGGGGACCCCATCTAAAATAAAAATTATTAATGGCAAAGGGAGACCCCGACCTGAAATAAAAACCTTCAATGGCAGAGATCAGCTCAAGGAAAAATCTTCAATGGCAGGGGGAGACCTCACTTAAAATAAAAACCTTCAATGGCAAAGGGAGATTCCACCTGAAACAAAAACCTTCAATGGCAGGGGGAGACCTCACCTAAGATAAAAGTTCTTAATGCCAAAAAGGGACCCCACCTAAAACAAAAATCTGCTACGGCAGAGGGAGACCCCACCTCAAATAAAAACTTTCAATGTCAAAGGGAGATTCCAGCCAAAACAAAAATCTGCTACGGCAGAGGGAGACCCCACCTCAAATAAAAACTTTCAATGTCAAAGGGAGATTCCAGCCAAAACAAAAATCTGCTATGGCAAAGGGAGACCCCACCTCAAATAAAAATCATCAATGGCAGGGGGAGACCCCACCTCAAATAAAAATCATCAATGGCAGGGGGAAACCTCACTTAAGATGAAAGTTGCTAATGCCAAAAGGGGACCCCACCTAAAACAAAAATCTGCTATGGCAAAGGGAGACCCCACTTAAAATAAAAACCTTCAATGGCAGGGTGAGACCTCACCTCAAATAAAAACCTTCAATGGCAAAGGGAGATTCCACCTAAATCACAAATCTGCTCTGGCAAAGGGAGACCCCACCTCAAATAAGAATCAGCGGCAGGTAAGGCGGTGTTTTCACTGGAGGCAGGCAGTTCACTGCGGGATGACCAATCCCTGAACAGGGGTCGGTGTGGGCAGGGTTTTGGGAGCAGCTCTGAGCCGGTTTCCTCCGTGTTTCCCAGGTGGTCTGAGCGCAACCACCGCGAGAAGATCGGGGTGCACGTGCTCTTCGAGCAGGAGCTGAACATGGAGCCGTTCTGCTGCAGGGACTGCCTGCCCCCGCTGGCCACCGACTGCTTCGTGTACGACCTGGCGGCCGTGGTGATGCACCACGGCAAAGGCTTTGGCTCAGGGCACTACACGGCCTATTGCTACAACACGGAGGGAGGTGAGTGTGCTGGCCCAACCCATCCCAATCCCCTCCCCTCCCTCGGCATCCCTTGGTTTTCCTTTCCTTGTAATCCCAATTCTTCGGGATCTACTCCTTGCCTCTCAGTAGTTTGTTCCAGTTATACTCTGCACAGAGCCCGCTGATGCAGTGAAGCATCTCAGAAGTCCTGCAATTTACATTTCCCATCCCTCTTTTATTCCTCTCTTCCCTTTGCCCACAGTCTCTCCCCATCACTCGATTGGTTTTCATGGTCATTCAAGTCTTAGGGGTGATTTGTTCAGGTAAAATGGAAAATGGAAATGGAACGGGTGCTGGATACAACCTCCTGTTTTTTGTTTTTTTTTCTCTTCCTTGGAATAGTGTGATTTTTTTCATTCTGCTCCAAGGAGCTGCTGCTGCTGCTGCAGCTGGGTTTGTTCAGGATCCTCGGGGGTTGAGGAGATGAACAGAAAGTGTTTTGAGGCTGGAAAAACAGGAACTATTCATGAATAACATCCGCAGGGGGGGCTGGGAGATCCCAGCAGCTGGATCAGGATGGGCTCTGCCTTCCTGCCTGCACAAATTGCCTGGCCCCAGGGAAGTTTTGGCTGCCTAATTTCAGCTTTTGGGCTGATTAAATGAAGATTTTATATATTTCTAAAGCACCAAAAAAAAAAGAAAAACTGATATTAAAACAATTTTCCAGATTACAGGAAAAGACAGAGGTGCCTTTTCTCCTGTGGATGTTTCCTGTGGGCAGTTCCAAAATCCAAAGGGATGCTTCCTCAGCTGAGAGCTTTTTTTCTCCTTTTTTTCCCAGGTTTTTGGGTGCACTGCAATGACTCCAAACTGAATGTATGTAGCGTGGAGGAGGTGTGCAAGACCCAGGCCTACATCCTCTTCTACACTCAGAGAACGCTGCAGGACAAAGCAGGAATCCCAGAAAAACAACTCCAAGCTCAGGTTTTTGCCACCCAAAACCAGTGACAAGGACACAAGACTGACATTCCCATCAGGGGAAAACACTCCCAGCTGCTTCTGGGAAATTTTGGTGTTCATCTTCCCCTTCTTTGTGGGGAAAACTGCAGGAATGGGATTGGAACAGGAGTGGGATTGGAACAGGAATGGGATTGGAGCAGGGATGGGATTGGAGCAGGAGTGGGATTGGAACAGGGATGGGATTGGAGCAGGAGTGGAATCACAACAGGAATGGGATGAGACCAGGAATGGGATCAGGGCAGGGATGGGATCAGGGGAGGAATGGGATCAGGGCAGGGATGGGATCACACCAGGAATGGGATCACAACAGGAATGGGATCAGGGCAGGAATGGGATCAGGGCAGGAATGGGATCAGGGCAGGAATGGGATCAGGTCAGGAATGGGATCAGGGCAGGGATGGGATCACAACAGGAATGGGATCAGGGCAGGGATGGGATCACACCAGGAATGGGATCAGGGCAGGGATGGGATCAGGGCAGGAATGGGATCACACCAGGAATGGGATCACACCAGGAATGGGATCAGGGCAGGGATGGGATCAGGACAGGAATGGGATCAGGACAGGGATGGGATCAGGGCAGGAATGGGATCAGGGCAGGAATGGGATCAGGGCAGGAATGGGATCAGGGCAGGAATGGGATCACACCAGGAATGGGATCAGGGCAGGAATGGGATCAGGGCAGGAATGGGATCAGGACAGGAATGGGATCAGGGCAGGAATGGGATCAGGGCAGGAATGTGAAATCCCAAATTCCACGTGGAGTTGGAAAAGCTGCACCAACCACAAAGTGTGTGTGTGTGAAATGAGCCTGGTTTGGGAATTGTGGGGAATCCAGAGCCTTAGTGGGACTGTCCACAGTCACTTCTCCAGCTGCTCCTCAGGTGTGGGTTTTGTCATTTGGGGGCTTGGCTGTTCACATTTCACCTTTTAATCTGAATATTAGACCTGATGTCTGTTAATCTGGGTTTGTTTTTTTTTTTAATAATTGGAAATATGAGGTTTTAAAAAAAAAAATCCGTTTTCAAGCAGAGAAGTTCTCAAAGTGTTTCTCCTCTTCCTCCTCCTCCCTTTTTGCTCCTTTTGTCTCATCAGATAAAAACAAGCTCCAAACCTTGGTTGTTGTGGGGGAAAAGCTCCCAAATCCCACTTTTTCCTGGGAATTTGAACCTCCTGTCCTTGGGCAAATTGAGCACAGCAAGCAAAAAAAAAAAAAAAAAAAAAAACTTGGATTGTATCAAAGAAAAATTCCCATTTCCCACATTCTGCCCACGATGCTGCTTTCTGAGCCTAAAAGAAATGTCATTTTTAACCATTAAATATCATTTTGGGGTCATATTCTTTGATTTTTATTTTTTTTTTTTTGGAGATCAGGCAGTTTGCAGCAGTGCTGATTAAAAAAAAAACTTTGGTTTTGCTTCCCTAAATGTAGCAGGATCTGGAAGGATTCCTTAGGAATGGCTTAGGGAGGGAATTTTTGGGGCTGCCAATAAATCAAATTAATCACAATACAACAGGATAAATTGAGATGGCTGGGATAGGAAAATGAGCTCAGCCAGGGAAAAGCTGATAAAAACTTCATGGATTAATTCTGGAGCAAAACAGCTCCTGGGAAAGAGAGAAAATGAAAAATTTAAAAATTAAAGGAGTCAGAATTGAGCTCAGATTTCCCCTGAGAGGGAAGGAATTGATGGAATTGGTTTTTCCCAGCACTGTGAGGTTCCTGGGATATTCAATTTTTCCTTGGATGTGACAGAATTTGGCATTTTTTTGGTGCTGTTTGGTTGAAATTTGGCTGCTGCAGGCTTCCCTCTGGGTTTTATCTTTTATGTGCAGAGTTAAAACTGATCTCCAGCATTTAAAAAACAAAAACAAAAAAAAAACCAAAAAAAAATTTAATCCCAGCCTAAATTCCAGGTTCCTGGCAGGGAAGGAGTTTTTTCCTCATGGTGGAATCCCCTGGCAAACAGGAGGGATGGGATTCCACAAACTCCATTATTCTGGAGTTTTTTCAGCAGTTCTAAAAGAGATTTTTCTGGATTTTTTTCAGCAGTTTTAAATCAGATTGTCTGGATTTTTCAGAGGTTTTAAATTAGATTTTTCCCGTGGTTCTAAATCAGGTTTTTCTGGATTTTTTTTTCCCCCAGTGTATTTAAATCAGATTTGCCTGGATTTTTCAATGTTTTAAAATCAGATTTTTCTAGATTTTTTTTTCCCCTAGCAGTTCTAAAAGAGATTTTTCTGGATTTTCCAGCAGTTTTAAATCAGATTTTCCCCATGGTTCTAAATCAGATTTGTCTGGATTTTCCAGCAGTTTTAAACCAGATTTTTCAGTGGTTTTAAATCAGATTGTCTGGATTTTTTCAGTGTTTTAAAATCAGATTTGTCTGAGTGTTCAGTGGTTTTAAATCAGATTTTTCTACGTTTTTTTTTTCAGCAGTTCTAAATCAGATTTTTCTGGATTTTCCAGCCATTTTCAGTCAGAACAGCCTCGAGTTTCTGCTCCAAGCTCATTCCTGGTGTCACTGCCAGTGCCAGGCCTGGAGTGTCCTCAAGGACAGCAGCAAGTGACAAGAGAATCCAATTAATTAATTAATTAATTAATGAAGGGCTACAAATGAAGGGCCTTGAGGAGGAGATGGGGGGGGATTCACTGGGTGATCCTTGTGGGGCCCTTCCAGCTCAGGATATTCCAGAATTCCTCATTATTCCATAATTCCTGATTATTCAGTTAATTCCTGACTATTCCATTAATTCCTGATTATTCAGTTAATTCCTGACTATTCCACAATTCCTGTCTATTCAATTAATTCCTGATTATTCCATAATTCCTGACTATTCAATTAATTCTTGACTATTCCAGAATTCCTGATTATTCCATTAATTCCTGACTGACTATTCCATTAATTCCTGATTATTCACTTAATTCCTGACTATTCCAGAATTCCTGATTATTCCATTAATTCCTGACTATTCAATTAATTCTTGACTATTCCAGAATTCCTGACTGTTCCATTAATTCCTGATTATTCCATTAATTCCTGACTGACTATCCGATTAATTCCTGATTATTCAATTCCTGAGTGTTCCATTAATTCCTGATTATTCCATAATGATTATTCCATCATTCCTGACTCTCCCACAATTCCAGATTATTCCTGGCTCCCCAGCCAGGTTTGTTCCAGGCTGAGCCCTGGGTGAACTCAGGATTAGTGGGGGCAAATCAAAGCTGGGCTCAGCTCCAGAGGGGCTGCAATTATTCCAATTATTCCAATTATTCCCCTTTTCCAGGATTGTCCCACTCCAGGCAGACCTGCAGGATTTTCACAGATGTTCAGCTCTGAAAGGAGAATTTTGGGGGGGTTTTATAGGGACACTCCTGTCCCCAGAGCTCCAGAATGTCCCAAAATCAACCCTGGGAAAACTCCAAAGAACGAGAATCCACTGAGAGCCCCTGGCACAGCTGTGTAAGCTGGGAGTAACTCACAGAGCCACTGTGTAAGCTGGGAGTAACTCACAACCTGTGAGTAAATCTAAAATCACAGCAGCCACTGTGTAAATTGTGAGTAAATCACAACCTGGGAGTGAATCACTGTGCAAATTGTGAGCAAATACAAACTCACAACAGCCACTGTGCAAACTGTGAGTGAATCTAAAATCACAGCAGCCACTGTGGAACCTGTCAGTAATTCATAAAAAAAAAACCAACCTGTAACTCCCAAGCTGTGAGTAACTCATAGCCTGTAACATAACCTGTGAGTAACTCATAACCTGTAACTCATAGCCTGTAACTCACAAGCTGTAACTCATAGCCTGTAATACAACCTGTGAGTAACTCATAACCTGTAACACAACTTGTAACTCATAGCCTGTAACACAAGCTGTAACTCCCAAGCTGTGAGTAACTCATAACCTGTAACTCCCCACCTGTGAGTAACTCATGACCTGTGAGTAATTCATAACCTGTAACACAACCTGTGAGTAACTCATAAACTGTAACACAACCTGTGAGTAACTCATAGCCTGTAACTCAACCTGTAACTCACAACCTGTGAGTAACTCCCAGGCTGTAACTCCCCACCTGTGAGTAACTCCCAGGCTGTAACTCCCCACCTGTGAGTAACTCCCAGCTGTGCCCAGCCCAGGGCACTCCATGCTATGCAACACCCAAAGGCTCCACCTCCTCCTCCTCCTCCTCCTCCT